ATATATATATATATATATATATGTTTAAAATAGAGTTTAATCTATAAATATATGCAGTTATCATTGAAGAGAGGTACTACATAAATTGGAAATATATGTATGGAAATATATGTATGGAAATATAAATAAGAAATTATGCTATATCTTAACAAATAAATTTCGCATAATTTATAATTAAAACTCTATTTCTTATTTTTTTTCTCAAACACGGAGTAAATCAGAAGTGATGTGTTAAGTTAACGCAGCAAATTAAGATAGCAAAAGCGTTTCATGTGTCAACAATTAAAATTTCTTCATAATTTAATCACACACGTGAAAAAAGCGCCACTTTTCAATTATGGCTCCGAGCAAGTCGCTATTGGTCTGTTTTCTATTCCTGTACTAGAACTCTCTTTCTCGCTTTCAACAAACATCGAACATATAATCATTTCACGTTTAGTTTCAAAAGTGTACACTAGTTCAGCCACAAAAAGTTGACCTTGTATCTCAGTCTTCATCGTTGAAGGACAATTATAGTGAGATTATTTTTCTGTGTGCTATAATAAGAGTGCTATAATAAGACTTCTCTTTCACTCGATTATAGCATACAGAAAAATGATTCAATTATAATTGACATATCCTCTAACAGAGATTTTTTACGATAACTTTTCTTTCACATCGACATAATTGTAATCCTCCTTTTAATTAATCGCGATTTTTATTTTTGCGTACTTTGCAAATGAAAACTGTTTCGTTCGCACGTAAATACTCGAGAATTTGAGTCACCAACCAGTTTCATAAGCAAGAAATTCTCTTATCTCGCACTTTAAAATTCTTATCGCGCCGGAAAAACAGAACAACGTCAATTATCGTGCGCCAGTTATCGTGCGATTATGCATATCATTGTGATGTCCTCGATGGGACCACTCGATTTACAGCCTTTTTTTTTATAAGAAAAAAAGTTTTTAAAAAATGTAATACTTGATATACTGTCATTAATTAATTAATTCATTAATTTTTTATTTTTTTAACAAGAAAATGATATCAGAATCTAAAATAATTTTTTTAAATATGATAAATTTTATTTAAAATAAGTATTCATATTTTAATCTTGTGAGATATGTATTCTCAAAAGTTATTATTTTCAATGCAAGTTCTATCATACATGGCAAGTTCTATCATGCACTCGCTATTACACTATGACGATTTACAGATTTGTAAACACACTTTCTGAAACTTCACGTTATAATCCGTCTTAAAAATTTTTTCTCATAAAAAGAAAATATATATATATATCCATTACGCGTGAATTATGATTTACTATTATTATCAATTTACACGTAGCATGGCAATTGTATATAAACATATAAAAATAAATAACATTTTAAAAGATATATCAGTGTCATCATCAATTATTTAAGCATTCATTATGTAATATTAAATCATAAGAATAAAAAAGACATTAAAACAGATTCTTTATTAACTTGATCATGACGCCTTAGATAAGTATTAGTGATTAATAAGTAATCTATTGTTCGTTAGTCATATACAATATATTACTGTAATAATAATAATAAACTTTAATACGCAATCATTAATGGATAATGGTTTTAACAGTCTCACAATACTTTCATCGAATAATTAAGTCAGAAAATGGAGTAGCTATATGCTCATTTTTACGAATCATCTTTACAAGAAAATGTATACATAGGAAAAAACTGTTATTTTAATATGTATTTTAATGTTATTTTAATATGTATTTTAATATGTATTTTATGTATGTATTATATATATATTTCGTATATGTAAACTAAAACTTTAAACTTTAAAACTTTTAGATTGAAAAAACCCCTGTAAGAAGATTTATATTTGTAAAACATATAAATATATATAAACACATATATGTATAAATACATATATAAAATGTATATTATTTGTTCATATAAATTTCTTTCTTTTGTAAAATTTCTATTTGATACAAGAAAAATAACAATATTAAGAGATAAAATATTAAAGGATAATTTCCGCATTGTTTTTTTATAAGAAGTTTGGAGAGATAAGAACAATTTAACTTTTTGTGAAAGAAAGATGAAAATTATCTTTTAATTATTTTTTATGTCTTCTCATGACTATTATTTTTTTACTCATTACTATTATTTTTTTTATATGAAATTTTACAATAATTTTACAAAGCAAAGAAATATGTTTATTTCTTTTATTTTACAAAAAAATATGTCTATATATAGACATATTTTGTATATATGTATTTATCTATACATTTTTATACATGTT